GCCACTGGTAAATTTCTAAATAAAATTAGATCCCGAAATTTTTGCATAATGAATGCAGTGTGTGTGTGTGAGTGCAGTGTGTGTGTGTGTGTATGAGTGCAGTGTGTGTATGTGATGCAGAGCCTTGGTAGGGGGGTGGGCATTTTTATTATTTTTTTTAATTATTATTAATTTTTAAATTAAATGAATTTACATATTTTATTTATATTTTTTTCGTCCCCCCTCCCTGCTTGTTAGCTGGCCAGGGAGGGGGGCTCTCATTCCCTGGTGGTCCAGTGGTGTGCACTGTGTAGGAGGGGGGCTGGCAGCGAGCTGTAACTTACCTTTCCTGCAGCTCCTGTCAACTCCCATCTCTCTCCTCCGGTCCGGTCAGCTTCCTTCTCCTCCACTGTAAGTCTTCTTCTTCACTATAAAAAATTATAAAAAATTATATAAATCAAAATTTACGTTTAGCCCATTTCGGATGTAAAGTATCTAGCTGGTATACCCACTGCATTTCTGTTTGTCTAATTTTTTTAACAACATCTCCTCCTCTCCAGTGTTTTTTTACAATGAATGAGAGGTGCTTAGGGTCATTGCTATGCATGCAAAAATGGGTTGGTACTGAGTGTTTTTTTAAACAGTACCAGCCCATTTTTGCATGCATAGTAATGACCCTAAGCACCTCTCATTCATTGGGATTGCAATTGTAAAAAAACCACTGGAGAGGAGGAGATGTTGTTAAAAAGATTGGACAAACAGAAATGCAGTGGGTATACCAGCTAGATACTTTACATCCGAATGGGCTAAACGTCGATTTTGATTTATATAATTTTTTATAATTTTTCATGGTTTATTTTACCTGCTAGTAGCAGCATTCTGACCAATCTTTTTTTAAACAACTCTACTCTTGTTTAAATATATGTTTTTACTCATGAGATTATATGTATATTGTGTTAATGTTTTTATATCAAATTATCTAAATGTATCTCTGGATAAAGTTCTTTTAAATTACACTCGACTATATGCACATTTGGAGAAAGTTTACTTTTAGTGCACATCATTATATTTGTCTTAAGTATAATATTATTTTGTATATTATGGGTTTACATTTAAATGCTAATTACTACTCTCTATTTATGAGTGCCAATCTCATTTGATTCTTCTGTTATTTTTGTTTTTCTTATCTGTGTATTTTTTATACTTTTATATAAACCAGAAATTGTTATTTATTTATAAATAATATTATGAATTACATTACAGACATCAATATTTAATGATCTCATTCATCTCTCTCTTTCCCCCTATGCCCATAATAAATATGGCCGCCATGCCGTTTTGGTAAAGAAGGACATGCCTATTCTCAGGGGTCTGAACAGCTGATAGAAGCACGTGGAATGCAACGCACGCTATTTCTGAGCGCTGCGTACGTTCTACAATTAGCGCAATAACAATACACCAACCAATTTACGATGCCGTGTCATTTCCGGTATGACGCGTATATCGCGTCACTTCCGGTATGACGCGCGGGTTCCAATGAGAACCAGGAAACCGGAAGAAACACACCCAGAAGTAATTTTAAGAATTTAGAAGCACATATAAATGGGACCCAGAGGAGGTTACACCACACTTCTGAAGAAGCCTATCAGGCGAAACGCGTCAAGTGGGACTCTCCTTTATAATTTTATATAACTTTTATGTTTTATACCATGTTTTGTTTATATTAAAGTATACTTTTAATAGATACTTTTTATATTCTTTTTTTTTGTTACTTCCTGGATCCTGCATATCCTTGGTGGGGATTATACCACCCAAGCTGTCCATACTAGAGCAAGTTTTATGCTCAATAAATTGTAAGTACATTACTATCTATTATTGGTTTCATCATCAGTACTTACTTCACTAATGGCTGCTATTTCTTTTTACCATGCATACTGCACTTTGAAACATTCGGACCAACCAGAACAACATATCCTGAGACGGGGATTGTACCGTCCAAGCGCATCACAGTTGAGCTCTGTTATAGCTCATACAAATGTGAGTGGATTGTGTTTAGTTACATTCACCACTTTATGCTATAATTTTACTGTATTGCACTATTATTTTTTTATTCTATTTTATCTCAAGGTTTTTGACTCATTGGAAATACCTGCAATTATATGTATGTACTTTTTATATTTATAACAGCGCTGTTTACGTTTTCTTTTTTTCCTATCTATTCACAAGGTTTTGGGAATCCTTGTCTTGTATACTGCTGCTTATTCACAAATTACTATAGTGAGCGCCTATTACCCTTTTTCTCTTTCTGCCAATATAAATACATATACATGGAAAAAAAAAATCACTAATTAGAATGAAGATAACTTAGCTTTGTTCTAAAGCTCTAAATAAAATATACAAAAAGATAGTTTTACAGCTTTAATGTGACATTTTATGATTTCTAGAGTTTATTAGACTAAAAAAAAAAATCAGCCAAAAGATTAAGGGGTTTAATAGGTTAATGGGGGTGTAACTAAAATGTAACGAATACATTTTTATTCACTAACTCCTGTACTGCACAGATGCATCTCAGATAATGGTTTTCACACATATGTTCTGTGGCTTCATTGTATGGCCAAGATGGCATCAGAATTTACTAAATGCGAAAGTAAATATTCTTTTGATGCCTGTATGCTGAAGACAGAATTGGTACTCCAAATTGTTCATATTCTCTTCAACATTACTTTTGCTGGTGTTATATTTGCCAGGTAGCACATTTAGGTAATTAATGGTTAGCGGGAAGGTAAACATTAAAATGCATTGCAAAACATCAGCACTACTAATGTGTTCAATACATAGAAAAAAAATAATAATAATAAGTACCTCTATTTTTTTTAGAAACTATGCATTGTTTTAATATTTCTTTTTAATACTTTTCCTTCCAAAATATATAAACTAAATTTTGTAAATGTGCCATATTTGGACAGCAATTCAGGAGTTCATAAGCATTGTGGTGTTTGATAAATATCTCAATTTCTTTACTATTTGTGGAACTTTTTTTTTTTTTTTTAACACCATATTGCTGTGAAGTGTATTTGCACATGTGGGAATACTATAGTGTATACAGTGCATTTTCAACAAAATAAACTATGTTATAAATACGCTTTCATAAATAAACACATCTCAAGTGTTACCTTTCAGTATAGGCATTCAGCCTATACTTTCCATCACTTTCACACTTGGGCTCCTTCAGCACTGCTCTGTCCTGTTCAGTCTGGAATTAGATTACAGGAAATAGTAACAAGAGCACAGTATGGGTTGACAATAGTTGGTCAGCTGAATAGAAGATGTAAAATAACTCCCTTTATTAATATATCATTAAAAATGTGAGTCAGTGTGTAGTAATGGTGGTACATGGTAAAAATCTGAAGAAGAAGAAAAAAGAAAATAATAAAAGGCATTTCCAATGCATGAATAACAGGATTTTGATAGACTGCAAGTCCACTGCTAAACATACAATTTTATCCTCTGAAAAGCATTTATTTTTGCAATAAAAATGATCATTAAGTGGTTTTAGTACATTGTATTTGTTAAAGGGAATTTCAAATTCCTGCAATTCTCTTGCTTATCTGTACTTTTGTACTTTTTGTAAATTTTTTAAATCAAGGCTGACCTTTCTCAGATAGTTATATTCTAAAAATAATACACATTTGCTTGAACATATATACCATGATACACTAAATTTGAAAACACATTACAAAAAGGAAAAGGTTTACCTCCATAAAGAGGAATGTTCTTCTAAAACTCATCTGCTTTTTAAAAACGTTACCAAACCCACTTCTTTCTTATAGGTTTATTATTTTTCAACATCGAATAATTAATATTATCTGAGCAAATCAACAAACTGTGTGGCTTTCAGTCTCTAATAGACAGATGAACTCATAGCAAGCCATTGCAGTGCAAACTAATGAGGGGGTTTAAAACAACTTTTCTTGTTTTTCCACTTAGACATAACACGTAAATCATGCAATTCTTTCACAAAGAATGAAATAAACACTCCAAACACCATAGCTACTACACTGTGCTGTAGTTGTCTTGGTGCCACGAGCATCCATGCAGAAGCCCCATTTTACAACAGTTTGACTTCTTACCAGTCTGCTGGCAACCACTCTCCACAGATGGATAGCTGGAAGCTCCTACTTAGGGGTGTTGTTAGCTATTCTCAGTTAATCCCTGCAGTACAGGGCTACCTCATTGGCTGAGAACATCAGTTGATAATTCTCAGCCAATGAGCTAAGCCCAGCATTAATGGGCTTAATTCCGACATAGAGCTTCTGGCTCTCTATAGGCGTTAGTGGAAGTGGATAGCGGTGGCCTGCAGATTCCATGTAAGAAGTCAAACTGCATTAAAATGGTTATAGAACAAGCAAAAAGGTCATTGAGGAAGGCAAAACAGCAGGAAAAGGGGGACTGTGACTCTGCTGACCTTCAAAAATGGCTACAATAATATTCGATGTGCCTAAACCCTCATCCTCATATGTTCACTCTCTCCCCACCCCCCATTCCTTTCTGTACCCCAGAAACCCGAAAACTTTCAATAAACTACGAATTGAAAAAAAAAAATGGCTACAATAATGCCTTGTAATGGCAACACATTATCAGCGATGTTTGCAATGCCAGTACTTAGTTGCCAAAATTAGATATCTGGATTAAAAATATAAAATAGGAAGTTAGAGAACTCACTTTTATCATTTTTATGATTATTTATATAATTTAATTGTAATGTTTTTTCTTTTGTTACATTATATTATGGAAAATTGGGAGCAGGGATTGTTTTAAGCTCAATAGAGGGTAATTATCCAAAAATTAAAGGAAAAGTCAATTGGCAATTGACCACCCCTTCCACCCTGACAGGAACAAAGTCCTAGTGGCAGCAAGTATCATTTAATTGGAAAAAAATGGATTTTTCAAAAATTAAAAGGGTGAGTAAGTCATCAATTGCCCATTGACTTTTTCCATTCATTGTTTAAAAAAACCTGTGTGGCTGAGTCTTGCAGTGCCTGCCACCTATGCGGATGCAGTTGTTAGAAGCTGAAAGTAAAGCATGTTTTCTTGCACACTGAAAGACAGTCATGCTACAGACTGCATGTGTGCAATAGGATTTCATCTTTTGGGTGGAAAGGATAAGTGGTTTGTCAATGTATACCTATTGCATAATGACTTATTTTGTTTTTGTCTTGTAGATATATCAATGGCTTGTTATATTTTGTGATTAAATTAAAGATCCACCATACATACCTAAAAGTATTTATTGTATTAATAGATGTTCTACAGTGTGTGCCCACACCTTTGGTTTGGGTGGACTCTATTTACACATTCTGGAGGTGTGGTGGTTAACATCACTGATGTTGCGTATCTGCATTATGGTATTCATATTGGCATTTATATTAGTTAAGTGCCATCTCACTGCTTTGCTCATGCCCACTCACTTTTTCTTTAGGAAAGGAAGTAATCCCCCTTTGAGATGGAAAAACAGTGCCCTATCATCTTCTCCCAACTGTATTTGAGTAGGTAACAAGCAATGCAAGTCAGGCAGGTCAAAACCGCAATAGAAGGCTTTTAAGAAAGGGAGTGCAGCAGAAGCAGCAAGAGTGATTTAATGTTAACTTTTTTATTATTTTTTTTGGGGGGGAGGGGTGGGGAGAAGGAGGGAGTAGGGGAGGAAGGGAGGGGATGACCACCAACTTAGCCACCAGTACCACCACCGGCACATTTTAGAATATATTTTTTTTCTACAAAATTTTAAAAAAGACCTGCCAGTGTAGGCAAGATTTACTAGTGCAGTAAACAGTAGTCACCCACTCTGTATATTATTGAGGGAAGAAGCTTGCAAATTCCAAAGCGCAAGTAGTGACAGGGAAGCACACTGCAAATCAAACACATCTCTTACTATAAATATATTAAAAAAATCACAAAGCAGTAAAACAATTCTAAATTGGTGAGTACAAGTAGGTGTAAGCAGCACTAGCAGTAGTTGCTAGGCAAAATGATTTTTTTTCTCTTTTCTATTCTATTCTTTTTAAATTTACCGTATGATGAGATGTGCAACTGTTCTCAACCGACCTACCTCTGTCAGCTTTGATACTAACCGCACCGTCCTCCCTGCTCTGCCCAAGGGTGATAGTATAACTGGTGGATGAGCTAGCCAACTTACTTGCCACACAATCAGCCTTCTTGGAGGTACTCAAAGAGATCCCAACTTTGCTTTGTTTGCATGATACAGAGCCCTAAATCCTTTGCCTTGCATCTGCTGAAGATGCAGGTGGATTTGCATTGGTGGCAATGAAAGCTGTCACAACACTAGCCCGTACACTAGCACTTGGACGATTAATGCTAATAGAAATGTTGAATGTTCTGGTACTGTTGATGCTAATGATGCTGGACAGAGGGTGGGCTCCTTGTACAAATGGTAGCAGGTGCAGTTAATGTTCCAATTGTCTCTGATGAGATGATTGTACAACATGTGCAGACTGACTTGGAGAATGAGGCAAAAATGTGATTCTATATAAAACTAATTTGCATATGCTCACCCAGAATCATTTGCTGTAGTAACATCACTGCAAATTTGTGATCTCTGTGGGTAAAGCAAGTCTTATGGCTTGACTGGTGTGCAGATTTTTGTTTTTTTGTTTAACATTGTATTAACTATATATATTATAGTTATACATAAACATATACACACACACATCTTTTACCAACTGTGTATTGGTAATCTAGCTTCACACTAGGATCAGAGACAATATCCCTGCAAATCTCCTAGCTCATACACAAAGTTGTTTCAAGTGCCTCTGTCAGTAGCTGCTAGCTAGATACAGTATAATGCTAAACCCAGTCTCACACCACCATCAATAACCAGGCTACGTTCCATTCCAAAACAGACAATGCAAGGGTAAACACAACAGATCAATGTTGGTTTGTCCCCTCTGTAGCTGAAGTCAAAGTGTCTAGGCAAAAGGTGGAGAACTACTCAGTTAATTAATTAGCTATGGGGTTGAGTGCTGGTGATGCATCCAATATTCTAAAGCATGCATGTGTAATTTATATCTTGGTGAGTGTCATAGGGATTACTATCTACAGCCTCTCTGCAGTCTGTGGTATATTATGGTGCTTGTGATGCGGTTATGACACCAACCTCTGTACCCCTTTCTGTAACAGCACACAATAACATAACTAAAACACTGCACTCATGTTGATCTCTGTTGAATACAGCTTCATTAAAACATTACTGTTTAGTAGTGCATTCATTCAACACCAGTCATACACTTTTTTTTACAATTTTGTAAATACTATATTGCTTTGTACTGCCACCTCTGTAACATAAAGCTTTCTTTTATTTTTATATTGCACAGTATTAAATGCAATTGTTATTTACCTCTTGAATTGGAAGCTCCATAGAGCATTGTTACTTTTTTACTTTATACTTTCATTCCAAGGCTACTGAAAATCACACTGCTTAGCTCTGTGTTATATTCCCCAAAGTGGTGTAACTTTATAAACTGACACTTCCCTTGTTGACACTATGTTGACATAATCGTACATTTTCAGGTTAAAACAAGCTAACACTACATAACCCCAGTCCAGTTGGGAGATTTCCCACACTATTTGAACTTTATCCCTACCAACAACAACAGCAGCTGCTAAATTCAGCTGCCAAACACACGGTAGCCAAGTGCATACCTAAACCTAAATCAGATGCATAGGCAAAATTATTTTCCCATTTGAGGTGTGTGTAAAATTACCTTTGGACAAAAACCGCAACTAATCATGTTATCATGGCTCTCAAAATAAAGTATTCCAAATAATCATGTCTGCATTTAAATTAAAATGACATTGCCTCTAGATGGAAAAGAGATCTTAATTTGCATAATGCATACCATTTATTAAATTCTAGCATGACATAAAATTTTGAAGTTTAACAAAGTATATCAGTATCCTGGTAATAATTAAAATAATAATAATAATTGTATGGGGTTCATGTGCAACTATCAATCAAAAATTATACACTATAGGTTTATCATCTCCTGCTAAAAATTTAGACGCTTAGTAGAACTTAATAGGACATGTTTATATGATTCATATAAAAAATAAAATACTTAAAAATATAGAAATTTTGAGGCTGCATCGCGGTGGAATTAAAAACACAAAAAAACCCACAGAAATAAATAATCTTCAAATAGAACAATTTGTTAAAGGGTTTCATTCACTAAACAACAAAGGTTATACACTAGTATAAGAATACAGGAATTCAAAGTGAATTCAAAGTCAATTTCAAAAATTCAAAAATAGAAGCATTTGCAATTCAGGTTAGTTTGAAGTTAAGCTATTTGCCTTACATTTGAATTGAATTTCACTTGGAATTAATGACAATTTATGCCTTAGAGATTATAGTCCTGCATTTTGTTCTTGTAAGTTTAAAATCAAACTGCAAAATTGATGAGTTAAAAAAAAAATCTTAGCCATTGGATATTTATATTTAACCTAAATATGCAAAATACAATCTATATTATTAACTATTAAGTATGAAAAAAGCAATGTGTTTATTCACTAAACAGCATAACAATTTAATAATTGACCCATCATTTTGAACTAGACAGTAAATCTGGAGCAACATGCGACTTATACTGTTTATTAAATTGGTAATTTCAGGTGGCTCCTTCAACTAAAGTTGCGTGTCATTGTAGCTTGACTGTTTTAGTCTATATTTTGAAATTTGGCTTTTATTCCAATACAATTCATTCTAAATTAGGAAATGTGAGAATTCAAACAGAATTTCATATTTATGTCAAAAATAGCTGGATTTGAAGGTGTCTCCGTGTTTCCATTAAATTCACTTTTGTTTGAATTCCCTTTGAATTTTGGAAAAGCAAATAGCACTGTCAGGGCTTACTGAATAATATACGTGTGCACTGTGAGAAAATTAGGCTCATCTAGGTACAGTCACTAAATGTTGATTTTATTCACTGATCAAGTGAGAAGCGACCAACAGAGGGAAAAAAAACTGTGTAAAAAAAGGATATTCATATATTTCTAAATTATACATTGATTAATTATATAATATATAAATATAGTTGTTGTTTTTTTACTGCTCATCATGTTTTTCTCTCTATTGGTTAGTTTTTCTAAATTGATCTGTGAAATAGATGGTGGGAAAAAGCTAAATTATTTATATTATGCACTTATTTTTGCAGCACACTGACTGTTCCATTTTCGCACCCTTTTGGTTCATCTAATTCATTCCCAAAAGAAAAAGTGTGCAGATGGCAAATGTTTAAATATCCCAGCTCCCTATGATTTAGAGCTTTTCCCCCAAGATGCAGTGGGTTCACACATACACTATCTAGGATCTTCTATAATATGGTACACGCACAGTATCATGGGATTCATATGATTTGCATCACATGCCAAGTTGTGCCTTAACTACCCAGCATAGGTTTTAGATCCAAATAAACTTTAAATTAAGTTATCCTGATATATTAAACATGTTTTTCTTGTATTGATTTACGTTTTATCTTTATCTGATTATTGTGCATTAAGTTTCCTCATGACTAGATCCCCATCCTCACATAGTAGTTAATATGATGATGTACAAAGAGAAATGTAAATTAAAAGATACAGCTGTCTTATAGGTATAAACAACATTATAATCTGTACAGAGTGCATGTCAGAAAGCTGAAAGATTGGATATCTGCCACAAGCAAATTACCTTTAAAGGACCACTATAGTGCCAGGAAAACATACTCGTTTTCCTGGCACTATAGTGCCCTGAGGGTGCCCCCACCCTCAGGGTCCCACTCCTGCCGGGCTCTGGGGAGAGGAAAGGGTTTAAACTTACCTTTTTTCCAGCGCTGGGCGGGGAGCTCTCCTCCTCCTCTCCTTCTCTGAGGCTGAATGCGCATGCGCGGCAGGAGCTGCGTGCACATTCAGCCAGTCTCATAGGAAAGCATTCATAATGCTTTCCTATGGATGCTAGCGTCTTCTCACAGTAATTTTCACAGTGAGAAGCACGCAAACGCCTCTAGCGGCTGTCAATGAGACAGCCACTAGAGGCTTTAGAGGCTTGATTAACCCATTTATAAACATAGCAGTTTCTCTGAAACTGCTATGTTTATAAAAAAAAAAGGGTTAATCCTAGAGGGACCTGGCACCCAGACCACTTCATTAAGCTGAAGTGGTCTGGGTGCCTAGAGTGGTCCTTTAACACTACATATTTATTTTATTTATTGTTTTCATTTGTAATGCAATTTGTGTACAATGCATTTTAAAAATAACTCCAGAAATGAATTTGCTTTTAAAGTTTTTAAACAACAATGCAGATGACTGTTTTATCTCTCAGTAACCTGATATTTAAAAGAAGAAAAAAATATCACAACAAGAGGACATAGTCTTAAATTAGAGGGACAAAGGTTTAAAAATAATATCAGGAAGTATTACTTTACTGAGAGGGTAGTGGATGCATGGAATAGCCTTCCAGCTGAAGTGGTAGAGGTTAACACAGTAAAGGAGTTTAAGCATGCGTGGGATAGGCATAAGGCTATCCTAACTATAAGATAAGGCTAGGGACTAATGAAAGTATTTAGAAAATTGGGCAGACTAGATGGGCCGAATGGTTCTTATCTGCCGTCACATTCTATGTTTCTATGTTTCTATGTTCAAAGGCTACATACAAAGATGTGTCTTTTCAATCAACTTCAAATCAAAAGAATGTTTAAAAGAATAGTTTCAGGTAAGCACACACAGTCTATGTAAAGCCATACTCAATCTATTCACTATTACAGAGGATGGGGGGAAAAAATCACTGATATATTTTAAATCAAGTTGCCTTGAGCTGGCCATGATACCCTACATGATGTTTTTCAAAGCAATCTCAAGTCCCCTAAAGCTTTTTAGCTTTTCTATTTTAGGGGAAGCTGCATGTCCCATCTGACTGAAGTGATTTTGAGGTTAGATATATGTCCCTTCTGGCTTATTTTATAAAAGTTCCAATTTCAACAGAAATCAAAATTTTTATAAATGTTCATATTAACACCTCCTGGCTGTAAAGAAATAAGCAATTTTACCAGTTTTAGGGGCAGAACACATATTGTGTTATGATTACTCCCAAGTGCCTCACAGACCAAGGTGGCATAACCTCAAATTCAAAGTATGAAACAATCAAATGTTTGGGCACTCAAAGGTTAATTCAATGCATATTTATTGGATGTAACATTTCGACTTGTTTGAGTCTTTGTCAAACCATAAAAGGCATTGTGGTTGATAAAGACTCATTGGAGTTGAATTGTTGAATTTCCAATAAATCTGCGTTGGATTATCCTGGACATCTGGACATTAGCTTTCTGCTTTAATAGTAAAAAAAAAAAAAAAAAGCTGGGAGAGTTTATTGAATCACTCATTTTGAATTTTACCTCAAAGTAGAAGTGAGTGATTTTAATAAAAATTGATTTTATTTTTTATTGGTGCTCTGTGTCCCAGTGCTTCTCAATGCATACTGAGAAGCATCAGAATGAACATCACTATTGATGACTTCACAGAAGATACTCTCCTAGTACTGATATAAAGGTAGGGTTAACAAAGTTGAGTATTTAAATGGGGAGGAGTTACCGTGTAACAAACACTCCAATAAAAATCAATATAGTAATTATTGGGGTGTGGCAAGCAGTTAAAGGAATAATCCAATAACAAATGAATAATTAATAATTATTGTGGTGGGACAAGCATTTTAAGGAATACTCCAATAAAAATCAATAAATTATAATTATTGGTGTGGTGCAAGCAGTTTAAGGAACACTATAATAAAAATCAATAATTATTCATTATTGCGGTGGGCTAAACAGGTTTAGAGAACACTCCAATAAAAAACAATAAATAAAAATTAGACTTGTGCAAAAATATGTTTGAGCCAGTTCATTTCAATAAAACATAAATCAATCCACACAAGAACTAACTGATGGACAATCAATTTATTTAAATGTGGAAAAAAAAATATTCAGACATATTTTTGCACAAGTCTAATATATATATTAGAATTGTGCCCAATAAAAAAAAAAATATATATATATTATATATTAGACTTGTTTTATATATATATATATATATATATATATATATATATATATTAGTTTAATATATACATATGGATGGATAGATAGATTGATTGATTAGACTATTTTTTTATTCCACAGTGTGTGTGTGTGTGTGTGTGTGTGTGAGAGAGAGAGAGAGAGAGAGAGAGAGAGAGAGAGAGAGAGAGGGAGAGAGAGAGATATGTGGAATAAAAAAAATATATTTATTTATTTTTTTATAGCTGACCTTTTCAATGGAGAAGCAGCTGACCTTTTTATAAACATGTGCTGGAGAAATAAGTAACCACCAGAGAACCAATTAACTTTAATAAAAAAAAAAAAAAATAAGTAACAAAATCAAGTGGGTTTCCCAGGATCCCAGAAAAGGATCCCAGGGGATAGACACATGACTGCTTCTCCATCCACTTTAACATGCCTGGAAGAGGCAAAGGAAATGAACATTTTGGGCAAGACAGTGAATGATGATTATTCTTAAAATGTATGTGCTGTTGGCTGTTGTTTATATTCTAATTTAATAGTACACTGAGCAAGGATCTAAAACTAATAACTATGCCCTCAACTCCATTCTCTTATCTGTGGAATGGAGGTTAGTAAAACCACCAATTAACCTGGAGTGATTCAAAGCTCCATCATATTTTATAACTGTGTTTGGAAGTAAGGGGTTAATGTAATACAGCATTGCTGTCAATACAAAAATAGACTGAGCAACATGATTGGCATTTCAGGTTCTATGACACTTGCAGTTCTCCTGGTTCTGTAGTTGCTGGTAATTCACATATGTGATATTATTACAAGGTTTCTTTACATCAGAATAGCACTTATTCACATGTATTGACTTGTGCGTAAAAAATTATAAATTATAAGAGGGCGCTTGATGTTTTCTCCTGTTTATATTAGGGACCAAAGCATTTTTATTAAACCTTATATCACACAGAACATGGATTAGTAAAAGGAGCAAGGGGCAACAGGGCAGCACATGCTCATTTTAATAATAATACCCATCTTAACACACATTGGAGGGAACAAATGGGTTATTCACTGGACCCTCCCTGGTTAGTAGAGTATTTAATCTAATACATTTTCCCACTTTAGCCAAGCACTTGCATGGCATGTGGGAAAGGAAGGCAGCTGTGTGGCTTCTTTCCAATTTACCATGCATCCTGAGATTCCGACTGATTGTGTGTTTTTTTTATTATTTTTAAATGTCTGCCCCCAGCAACTCTGATCTATCAATAAGATTTTTTCAATGCACAATTGTTTAGGTTAAAATATCAGCATTATCAAATCTGTAATCATTGGCTTTAAACAGCCAACCCTGCTTAATTTTGGATGTCAGCCACAACTTGTTTTGTGAATAGCCACCTTCATAAGAATTACAAGCAATTTTAATAAAACAAACTCACTGCATTGAAAAAAAAAAGACTTTCCATACTGAATCTAAAATTAGCTTGGGTTCTCTTAGCAACCATTAAACATGTCTCATAAAAATAACAACTGGAATATAGCTACTTTATCTGGATTGCTGAAAAAAGAATATACCAATGAAATACAATGATTTTATAAAATGAAACAACCTTTTCTGGTATTTTTATAAAGATAAATATATACTAGTACATTGTAAACATCTCCTCAAATCACATGAAATGATTTTGATAGTGAATAACTGCATAATTAAAAAAATAAAAATCCTGCACTGATTAAAAACTTAGTATATGGTATATAGTTGCAACCCTATCTGACCTTTATTCATAATTAAAGTATATCAAGTATAAAAATGGTTGCTTGCCCAAAACAATGAACTGAGTTAGAACATGGACGATGTATTCTGATGTGTGACTCCTCTTGATTGTCTTTTCATTAATTTGAGGCTTCAATTAAACATTCCTAAAAGCAAATGTCAAGATTTGCAGATACTATATTATAATTTACAGAAATGCTTAAAAACAGTCAGCAGTGTCCACTTCAATCTCTGCGTGATAATAAAGGATTATTATGTGCACTAACCTATTTATGAAAAGGAAACAGTGTGCTTCTTTCAGAGTCTATCAATTGCTTTAGTTAAGATTTCAAAAGCTTGGCCTACTTTACATGCAGATCACCATCCCAGTTGCATAAGGATTTACAATAGACAAAAACAAAACTGTTTTTGTTGTAAATAATGGTTGTTTGTTTAATTCACACAATTATGCGGACATAAAAAATGTTTACTGACTATTTAGGATGTAGAGATTAGTCTTTGATCATTGTATATCTTCAGCTATATTCTTAGAAACATCATGTGCAGTCTCTTAGTGAAACCTAAAGATAACTAGATTCATGCATTTACATAACTGGATAGGTTTCAATATTCTCTTGTAAATGCAATAACTATTAGTAATGTCCCAAAATATATATAAACAAACAAAACACAGAAAAATCCAAGTACTAATGTTATGTACTTCACTCTGAGCACATAATGGCTACTCATATTGGTCAGCTTTTTGTCATGTTCGATTTAGTGTTACATATTTTTAAATATACAAAAATATAATGATTTGATACACAAAATATAATAAGATATATATTCAGTTGTGTAACTTTCTTTAATTAGGAAAATATTCTTAAAACAATTATTAGCATTATTGTCATTAGAGATGAAATATAATGAATAAAGCATTAACTGACAGTGGCATTAACTGACTGTATATATATATATATATATATATATATATATATCCATCCAACGGGTCAGGGCAAATAATTAATTTCTAAATTTCTAAAATACTATAATTTAAAATTATATATCTGTAAGGAAACCTAGAAATATATTTGCAATCCAAATAGATCTTTAAAATGTCTTACATTGTAAAAATCAATCATGTTTTGTCTCTGTTTAATACAAATAAAGATATAAGCTCTTATCTTACTTTGGGGTTTTTTTTTTTCTAAAATGCAGCACATTAAAACATGTTCGATGTATCAAAGCTAGAAGCAACAATTAGGTTATTTAAAGTGCAAAGGCACTTTAACTGAAAAAAGTGACGCCCAGTGGCTACAGCTGGTAATTGATTTTAAATGTTAAAGTATTATTTACATTATAAAAGAATGTCCATTTCACTTAGATCATTGAGATATCCTAGCAACACTAAATAAAATATTCACCCATTTTTGATAAGGAAAGGGAAAATCATAAAAAAAAACAAAAAAACACTAGAACATTCATATCATAAAATATTGAGCCTAGAAAATAAAATTCAAAAATAATTTAAAGAAAATGGAGAAGAAGGAGGGGGGAAAAGACATGTTGTCCACCAATGCCATTGCAATTTAAATTTATATGGTACCTGCGTAGCTTAAAAAATGTATAGTAAAATTGGATTCACCAGCCATTCGTTGTGTGCACAATTGTTTGTGACACTTCATATAAACAACAGGCTTCGAGCTATGTAGTGTTGCCTACAGCTGACTTATTGCAGTTTGTTTTTCCAAAACTTCAAGGTAATCTGGCTCTGACTGCAGTTTTCCTTGAAGCAAGAGATGCTCTTGTTTTGATTGTTCTGCAAAATATTTTCTGGGAGTGCCATATAAAACTGTTTTATTAATCCTGTCCTGATTTTGACGCCTTGATTCGTATGCAGGAATGAGTTGCCTTTTGGGCAACGTGCAAAAGTTATAATGGACTACCCCAGTGCTTGGTAATTCTTTTACCCTTTCCGCAATGTTCTGGTAGAGGAGCTCAGGCTCTCCTTGAGTTTGTGACTTTTCTAGCAGTTCAGTTGTGCTTATTGTATAAGCTATAGTAGTTGGGTCGTCCTTTTTGTGGTCTAGTTTGCTATAACTAAATTCTTGAAGATTTCTGTAGTAGGCAACAGGATCTCCTTCTTTTTGCATGTAGATAGGGTTTTGACACATTTGCCCAACAGGTGGAGGGATGTAGTTGTAGACGTGAGCCTCTGTTTTATCATTTGAGTTTGGGTTGTATGACCCATACTGAAGCTGAAAAGAACTTATATCTAAATTGTTTGCACTGCTGCTGGGAACACTCTGTACTCCCTTTCTTCTTTTTAGAACAAAGACAAATAGCCCTGCCCCAAAGCAGACAGACAAGATGAAAACTACCAGTAGTCCCAAAATCAGCACAGAAAGAGGGACTTCAGTGTGCATTTCTGGATAGGGACTTGGAGAAATGCTGGAAGGGTGTGGGGTGTCAGTTTTGTAATTAAATGACAGTACTGTAGCATCAGCCATATTAGGGTTCTCAGGACAGATAGCATCCTTGGGAAGGAACCTTAAATGTTCCCCGGCATGTTTGAGTGGTGATTCACATGTTACCTCCTGTACAACTACTGTGGAACTAGACTGTTCTATCCAGTTCTTCAAACCTAAAATATCACATGTGCATTCCCATGGGTTTTCCTGGAGGTCTATCTGAATAAATGCAGTAAGCTGGTCAAGAACTCCTTTGACTGGCAAATATGAGAAATGGTTGTTCCTTAGATTCAGTCGAGTAAGGGCAGTGCCTCCAAATACACCATCTGGCAATGACCTCAGCAAATTGTTGTTTAGAAATAGTAGTTGAAGATTACTCAAAGCATCAAATGTGCGCGGCATGATGTCCTTTATAACATTGTACTCTAAATAGAGGTATTGCAAACTGTACAAGCCATCAAACAATGAAGGATATAATACTTCTAGGTAATTGCCATTAAGGTACAGTCTGCGTAAACTTGTTAAGTTGGAAAATGCACCTTCCTGTATCATTGCTATTCGATTATTTCCTAAATGTAGCAAATCTAATGAACTAAATTCAAGCAGATCTGATTTATAAACAATTTGCAGGTAATTACCTGTCAGATAAAATTTTCTTGGGTTGGTGGGTTTGGGTTGAATTTCAGAGATGTTGCTAATCTTTCTCTCTTGACAATTGACATTTAAACCACTATCAGAACTCTGGGAGGTGCACACACAAGTGTCAGGACATGTAAGGGGGACTGGAGATTTGGTCTGATACACCATAATTGGCCCAAATATTTGCCTGTCTTTGTATACAGTGACTCTGGGTGTGGGTCTGTTTCTTGTTTTAGGAGGCCTGCTGGCCTTGGGAACTCTAGTGGGAGTAATTGCAGGGTTAAAAGTTGGAGGCAGCCTTTGAATACGAGGATCTGAAAAAGCTGGATGTACTGATCTCTGATTTGTGTCACCAGCACTTTTTCTAGGACAGAGGTCTTGCCTTGTTAGCTGTGTGACATCTTTTCCATGCAGCCTAAAGGGGGTCTCACAAACAATCTCTCCCACAAAAACTGTGATGGTATCTAACCAGGCTTTGAGTGGGGTCAAATCACATGTGCAATTCCAAGGGTTCTCTTCTAGCTGGATTTCCATAATCCCGCCAATGTGTTCAAGGACACCAGCAAAGGGCAACATTTTGAGCCTATTACCTCTCAGATCCAAGTGAGTTAAAAGCACAAAACGAAAGACGTTGTTGGGGAGAGACAGCAAAAGATTGTCATTGAGAATCAAGACTTTTAATTTATTCAGCTTGCTAAAAGCCCCAGCTTCAATTACACTGATAAAATTATAATCTGCTTGCAAATATTCTAGACTCTCAAGGCCCTGGAAAGTTTCCTCCTTTAGAATCTCCAGTTTGTTATTATTGAGATGCAATCTTTTGAGGGTCTTCAGCCCGTTGAAAGCCCCTGCTCTGATCTCTTGCAGTTCGTTGTTTCCTAAATGGATAGTCACTGCGTTGGAATAGTTGACAAACTCATTTGGATACAGTCTGCTCAATAAGTTGCCATTGAGGAAAAGCTGATATATCCTGGACTGCGGAGGCAGAAGCAAACTGACGCTAGTAAAACCTTTATTCTCGCAATTAATATTAAGCACGTTCTCTTTTTCCTCGCATAAGCAGCGGATTTTGCATATGTCTTTGGCAGTTTTGCGGCTTTCTGTCTTTAAGATCCCAGTCACTGATATAAAACTCAGCAGCAAAACGCTGTTCAGCATCTTTACATCCCGCAGATCCCAGATCTGATATCTATGTTAAAACCTTGGAGAGGAACAGAGAATAAATAGGCTTGTAAATGCAAGAACCACCTAACACACTTCACTGATTCATTTGCTTAAACAGCCCCCAACACCCAAGATCCCAACATCCCCACCTTTTGTGTTATAATATTGCAAACACTGAGACCCCCGACTCCATAGAAAAGGGGTTTGCTAAATTATATCTGTTCCACTCCCTTAAGTCATGATCAAATTGTATACTACTCATTTTAGTGATGTCCAGTTATGATCTAATCTACCTTGGTGTTTTCAAATGAAATGGATACATTTGTTTGTGTGTATGTGTTTGTAAGTATGCAGTGTGTGCATATTGAGAGGTAAAATACTGTACTCACACATCAGGGAAGCATTTAGATTTTTCTCTCTCGCATGTCCTGTTCAGGCTTTAAATATCTGAGGATAAAATCCAAGAACGGCTCAATTTCCCCAATCCATAATCTCAGGGCAGGTGTGGGTAGAAGTTTTGATGAGTGAGAGTCTCTGATGGCTGCCTGAGTGTAGTTGCTGCAGTGACAGCTTTTAGCCCTTCTGCTCTCCCTGTGTGAGTGAGCCTTCTATAGAGGCTTGCAACTCTGCAGGCTCCCTCGGACCGAGAGGGGATGACGTCACGCCCTGGAAATTAGTTGCTGGGGGAGCTCTGCAAGCACGTTGTGCTTGTCTATTGCACTCCTTTGTAAATCCTTTCATTGTGGGAAATGGAGTGGGGACTCATTGTGATCTCCGGATACTGTCTGCATGGGAGAGGAGAGTGGCTGCAAAAACCTCCGCCCCTCCCCTACCCCTACCTTAACACTCTGAGAATCACTCACATGCTGCACCGATTTGGGGAGGGGGGGGACTACAGTAAGTTTCATCTGGTCTTTTTATTTTAGCATATAAATAATAATTGTATGCTGTGTCTGTATGTGTGTCACCTGCTAAACATTATTTGCTATGGAGATCAGCCTAGCAAATTCATTACAATTAAATCTAATTGTAAGGAGTTGATGCTCTGTATGCCTGCATGCATATCTGAAAATTGTGCAGATAATGTGCAATGAAACAGATTACAATTAACTGTTCGGTGGGCTGGTAAATGCTGACTCCAGTTGCATCCATCAAAGCCTCTAGCTGCTTAGGTGGTAAGAAAGGAACAATATTTAGAGAAAAAAAAAGGCTTCAAGATTCCAGTGGGTTTAAGCTGCAGTACTCACTGCAGGCTCTGCAAACTTTCACTGAAGGGGTTAAACAGCTCTTTTAGGTTCCCCAGGATCATGTGGACTCCAGAGCGACCTTTAGTTGCTGATAATGAGATGGGGCAGGATTTGATGAGCAGCTTTTCCCTGCTGTGATATCTGTTCTTTAATGGGTACCGTTTTGAGAAGAATTGAATTAGGTCATGTGTGTATGCAATTAGTAGTGTACAATATACTGTATCATATTATATTGTGTCGCAATGTGTCCTGCACTGTGCATGGTGACAGTAACTTTCTCATAATTAGGCACATTTTAACCCACTGAGTGCCACAGTAATGAGCAGTGCATTGATTAACATTCTTTTTGCCAGAGGCACATTGACTCTTTGGTTGCTGAGGAATCATCCAGATCTCTGTTGCTAGGTCTTTTAATTATGTGATTACCAGGAGTGTAGAACTGCTAGCATCCTCTTGATAAATCAATTTAATAATAATTACAAGAATTTAAATTGAATATTATTTTAAAATGCTACTGATTTAAAGGGAGGGCAGGACATGAATTTGATAAATAAGAATAAATCTCTAATACTGTAATGCACAGTCAGCTGCATAGGAACACATCTGATGTAGGCAATGTGCTGTACTGTGCAGGCCTTTTTAGCTGTACAGAGTGAGAAGAGGCTTAAAGCATGAAGATGAAGTGCAGATAGAGCACGTTTTTAGTGGTTATGAAAGAAAGCTTTATTTATAAGAAAGAGGCCAAGGAATGCAGGTCTTCTGCATGTTGGTACCAGTGAACTGAGGCTTCCTGTAGTACTGTAACATTGCCTGGGATTGAACTCAGTGGCTTTTTTCTCTCTGCGCTTTCATGTTAACTGGTGATCAGTGAGATGATTGTTTCCTAGCTGGATGGTCTGTGGGTGGTAGTGACAAATGCATGATGGTATTTTTAAGATAATTTTAGCTAGGTAATAGAGTTAGAGAGCATTAGATAATCTTTGCTTATCTATGTGAACTCAGAACACGCCCCCACCCCCATATTTGTGATGTCAGGCAGATTTAAATGGATCTATTCACGAAAGGTCACACCGACGTTGCAACTGATTTTAACAATGCTGGGTGAAAAACTAAAATGAGGTGGGGGGTAGGTGGTAGGACACAGGGAGGGGAGGAACTTGCCTATTCACTGAAGGAAAGTCATTCAAGGGAAGTCACAGACTGGAATGGAATGGAATGCTTAGCTTGATTAAAGTTTAACAGTGCTAGAAAATAGAAAGTTATTAAAATGTATGAATTGGAGGTGATACAAAGCTGTTATAATTGCTCAAATCTATTAATTAGGATCATATGTTCCTGATGTCCCAACTTCAGTAGCCAACTAGAAGCGAATATTGCTTGTGGCATTGAGCTGCCAGTGGGTGAACAGATGAAGTTGACACACAGTTTTGCTTAGAAATACATTTAATTTATGCACAGTGCTGCCATAATTCACAAGAAATAAGCCCACTAAAACATATTTATGAAGATTATTCTTCTGTTTCTTCCAAAAAGATTGTTGCAGTGGATGAGCAGTGGTCCGATTGATGGAGATCACACCTGACATTCCACAAATGATAGTGTGCATGGCATGCCATGGATGGCTATCTTTTGGAAACAATGGTAGTACATGCAGCTGTGGGCTCCATATTTTACATTCATGGTTTTAACATAGTTAGAAGCAAAATGGCAGTAAAATAATACATTATGAATCCTCTTTCATCTATGCATGTATTAGCAAAATATCTAGCACAAATCATTGATGGAATTTTATTCTCTATTTACTTATATCACCTGAATGATAGAAATGATAGAAAATATTAAATAACAATCACAATAAAAATTCGATAGGAGAAGCTGTGAGTATCCCATCTCCATATTTGATATGGGATTGAGTGGGCTGCAAGGAATGAGTAATACTGACAAGGGCATAGTATTAAGTAGTGTCTCATCGTATGATATTTCCTTATCCCCAAATTTTATGTTGGGCTTTATGAGAGTATTTAATGATACCATAAATTATCGGAGGGGGAGGGGGGGATAGAGAGTCTGGGGGGGAGAATAAGACTCATTGAGGGGCTGAGGGGGAGAATCAAACACATGGAGGGGCTGGGGGAGGATAGAACTACTAGAAGAGGCTGGGGTGAAACACACTGAATTATATGAAAAATTAGGTGGATATGGAGTGGCTGGGGGAAGTATGAGACACATGGAGTGGCTTGGAGAAGAAAGAGACACATGAAGGGGCAGGTGGGATGAGACACATGGAGGTGCTGAAGGGGAGAATGAGACACATGGAGGTGGGAAAATGAGATATGAGGGGGCTGAGGGGAGAATGAAATACACATTGGAGAGGATGAGACACATGGAGTGGCTGGGGGGGAGAATAAGACTCATGGAGGGGCTGAGAGGGAGAATGAGATACATGGAGGGGCTGGGGTGAATGAAACATATGGAAGTGCTGGGGAAGAATGAGACACATGTAGGGAATGGGGGAAAATGAGACTCATGTAGGTGGGGAATGAGACACATGGAGGTGTTGAGGGGAGATGAGACACATGGCATGCTGGGGAGGGAAAATTAAACACACATTGGGGCAGGGGCAGATCCAGAGCCTAATCTTGGGAGGGGCAGTCATAGATTATTTAAATAAAAATCCAGACACAATAACCACTACAGCTCTTTGTACTGGTTATGGTGCTGTCAGGATTATAGCATGATCCAGCACGTAGAATTGTGTAACACAGAAGACTGATAGGTAACGTATACCGGACCTTAGAATGGCCGGACTAACGTACCAAAGAATAGTCAGGAATAGCCGAAGGTCAAGCGATACAGAAAGAGACACAACGATATGGAAAAGCCAGGGGTAAGGGATGCCAGAAAACAGGGAAGTCAAAAACAATGCCATAGTCAAATAACCAGAATTACCAGAATCAATAACGCACTCTCGGACAACCACAAGGGAAACCACGACAGGGCACTGAGCAGGATGAGAACTGGGCCTAAGTACCAGTCCTCTGGATCTAATAAGGTGTAATCGGACTTTGACCCCAAAGGCAATTACCAGGTTCTCATTTGCATAATTGCTGCTCAGCACAAACCCTGCTGTGGATTTGATTACTGCTTGGCACAACATTACTGTCAGGACAGTAATGTTGTTCGGCACAACTTTTCCTGTCTGAACAGTAAACTCCATTAATCACATTTTTATAAGCAGATGAATATGTTACATTACCCCCCACCTGAAGAACGCTCACCGAGCGGATATGACCAGGCTTGAGAGGAAATTTGGCGTGAAAATAGCGAATTTTGCGGCCAGCATGTATATCAGATGCCAGAACCCAAGAACGATCGGCTGGTCCATAACCTTTCCAATCCACCAAGTACTGTAAAGTGCCCAGAGAAAACCTGGAATCAATTATGGAGGAGACCTCATACTCTTCCTGTCCAGAAACAACTAAGGGAGGAGGAGGGACACTCGAGACAGTATATTTATTGCAAACAAGAGGTTTGAGCAAGAACACATGAAAGGTATTAGGAATTTTCAAGGAGGCCGGAAGGGCCAGAGCGTATGCAACAGGATGATCCTACGAAGGACACGAAAAGGTCCAAGGAACCTAGGAGCAAATTTCATGCTAGGGACTTTGAGCCTGATGTTACAAGAAGATAACAAAACTCTCTCACGCACTTGGTAAACAGGGTTGGCACCTCAACGTGTATCAGCATAATGCTTGAAACGGTCAGCAGCAGTACCCAGAGCAGATTGAACTTTAACAGAGGTATCACGGATGGAAGCCAGATGGTCATCCAATGCAGGAATAGCCATATCAGAAAAAACAGCCGGTAGGACAGTAGGATGCCGGCCATTATTAACAAAAAATGCACTATGCCCAGAGGAGTCATGGTCAGCATTGTTCCTAGCAAACTCAGCCCTGTTGTAATGTTGTAATTACAGTATGATCCAGCACGTAGAATTTTGTAACACAGAGGACTGATAGGTAACATATACCGAACCTTAGAATGGCCGGACTAACGTACCAAAGAATAGTCAGGAATAGCCAAGGTCAAGGGATACAGAAAGAGACACAATGATAAGAAAAAGCCAGGGGTCAGGGATGCCAGAAAACAGGGAAGTCAAAAACAATGCTAAAGTCAAATAACCAGAATTACCAGAATCAATAACGTGCTCTCGGACAACCACAAGGGAAACCATGACAGGGCACTGAGCAGGATGAGAACTAGGCATAAATACCCCTCCTCTGGATCTGATAGGGTGTAATCAGCCTTTGACCCCAAATCCAGTTACCAGGTTCCCATTTGCATAATTGCTGCTCAGCACAAACCCTGCTGTGGATTTGATTGCTGCTCGGCACAACTTTTCCTGTCAGGACAGTAATGTTGTTCAGCACAACTTTTTGTCACGTATTCATCCGCTTATAGAAATGTGGTTAATGACATTTACTGTCCACACAG